CCTACAAAGAAAACATATAACCCAAGTAACAAGGGCGCTAATCTCTCCCCAGCAAAACTTTCAAACCGATGTGCTCCAATACCTAGTGACCCTATTAACAATGTCGCAATCTCTCTGTTTACGGCTTGTCCAAGTGTCACTCCTCTAAAAGTATCTGTTAGAGCATTTTCAATGGTAGTATAAAATTGGTATCTCTAAAACTACTTTTGCATCCTGGTGGATTTGAATTCAAATTCTGCTCCAATAAGATTATTTAAATCCACTTTTGAGTGTTTTTAACATTTTCTGCCCAAAAATTCAATTTGTATAACTCCAGTGGAAAGATTTTCGGCCACTTTGGAGATCTAAATCTCTATTTTAAATCACTATTGGAGACATTCTTAGTCTATAAGTCTAAGCACCTGTTTGGCCTCCATTACGGGGAAAATTTAATGTATAGAATAGTGTTTTTTGAAAAATGAGTGGTTGAAAAAGAAAGAAAAANATTTGGGTATTATTTCGTTGTTGTAATATATTTTGTATTAACTTTAAATAATCGTGTTTGTTATATTTTAATTTTTTTGTATTTTTATATTAATTAATTCATTAATTATTATTTTTTACATTTAAGATTTATTTTAAATGCGAATAATAATAATAATGATGATGATGATGATGATGATGATGATGATGATTTATTGTATTAAAAAATAAATAGCACAAACGACACAAATATCCTTAATCAATTTATTTGGAAAATGAAAATAAAGGATAAAATTGACTTTGGACCATTTGGTGCATAAAAGGTACAAAGTGAATTGTGTTGCATCAACCCGATTTTTTTGGTGCAATTTTGGTATTTTGGTGTCTCCATTGGAGATGGCCTAAGCAAAATGTCAAGATGATTACAAGAAATCCATAATCATATCTTGTCTTAAGTTTGGGATAAAATCGAATAAATGTTACTGCAGAACCTATACAATTAAGATTTGAAACAGTAATTAATTTGGTTACCATGTTAACAAAATCATAAAACTAAAAAGATAATCTAAGATGCATTTTAATGAATATAGCCCTTGTTTGAGCCACATTTTTCAAAAAAAAATTATTATTCATGTCAAAACAATGAGAAATGTGTGGTTAAAAAATAAGGAAAATTTTTAAATTTGTGTGTCATATTATTTTATTGAAAAATGTGATTGAAATGATGTCAAATCACTGTTGAAAAATATATTTTTTTAAAATAATGTGGCTCAAACTACCTACAAAGAAAACATATAACCCAAGTAACAAGGGCGCTAATCTCTCCCCAGCAAAACTTTCAAACCGATGTGCTCCAATACCTAGTGACCCTATTAACAATGTCGCAATCTCTCTGTTTACGGCTTGTCCAAGTGTCACTCCTCTAAAAGTATCTGTTAGAGCATTTTCAATGGTAGTATAAAATTGGTATCTCTAAAACTACTTTTGCATCCTGGTGGATTTGAATTCAAATTCTGCTCCAATAAGATTATTTAAATCCACTTTTGAGTGTTTTTAACATTTTCTGCCCAAAAATTCAATTTGCATAACTCCAGTGGAAAGATTTTCGGCCACTTTGGAGATCTAAATCTCTATTTTAAATCACTATTGGAGACATTCTTAGTCTATAAGTCTAAGCCCCTGTTTGGCCTCCATTACGGGGAAAATTTAATGTATAGAATAGTGTTTTTTGAAAAATGAGTGGTTGAAAAAGAAAGAAAAATTTTCGATTTACGTATAATATTATTTTATGGAAGATTGTGTGGTTGAAAATAGGAGAGAGAAAAATAGAATGTAATGTAATGAAAATCAAACAAGGGCTAAGCTGTTACAAAATTTATAAGCAAATATGTTACATTACCTACAGAAAATTCGAAGACCACAACAACGGTGATAGCTGCCCGCATTGCATTAATGCTGAAACCTTGGTACAAAGGATCAAGGTAATAGAAGAGTGAAACTAAAGTTACGGCCAATCCTACTTTCAATGAGTGAATAATTCATCTTTGATCTTCAATACAAAGTTTCTTTCGCTCACTGGCTGCATCCATTATCTACAACGCAAGTTTCTCCATTGTGTCCTTAAACCATGCACAAGTCGAGAGCACTAGCAGACCCATAGTGGGTCCTGGTGGGTCACTTGACCCACCAACTTAAAATTGAGATTTGTTTCTTCATTTTTCATTTTTTTTCATTCCTATTGGAGATCAAATTTGATGCAGAAGAACTTTAACTCGGAAAATCTGAAAACTTTGAATGAAGTATTAATTTTTTAAAGATGTGAAAGATATTCATCAAAAGTTATATACCTCTTTTTTTGGGATTTTTTATTTATTTATGATTTCTTTTGTATTTTCTTATGAAATGGAATTAGGGTAATGGATTCTTGCCATTTAAGTGCTCCAAATTTTATTTTGTTCTGGCGATTTTATGGTAATGGTTCATGCCGTGATTTTTGTATTTGTTTGAACTGGAATGAATTTGATAATTTAACATTCAGAATTGCTGTAATTTTTGTATTTTTCACTTGAATTAATTGTGATGGAAAAATAATTTAAACGTAAATATGCGTTTTTTTTTATGATTGTAATGTTAGTGAAATAAATATTCGAGATAAAAGTGATGAAAATGATGACAAACATAATGGTATTTATATAAACGTAAATCTATATTTTTTGAAAGTTCAATTGTGTCCCATTAACTCAAAATGTCTGCGTCCGCCACTGGTCGAGAGTCGTGCAGTTTCTTGATGGATTCATGCCATATGTGTCTTGAAAATATACGACTAAAAAATCGAGTAATCTTAGTCCCTCAAAGACCCTAACTTAACCTTGAATCAATTCTCAAGGTGAAAAGAAATGGCGGGATGAATTATTTAGTAGAAGATTTGTCTTTATTAATAAGTTAGATACCTTAGCTGGAAGTGGAAACTGGTACGTGCATTTTAATTATTCATGCAGTTCGTCTACTGGAGATAGTTTTACTTACACGCTTTTCCAAATTTCAGTTTTGTATTTTGGAACCGAGTAATTGACTGCGATACCTAATTTTTGACCTTAAAAAATGGACATAATGTTAAGAAACAACTGTGTCGCGAACAGTTGTAATGCAACAGGAGACTATTACGTGGATCTTTCTACATGTACATCAGGGATTTTTATTTAATATTTTTCCTACACATCATATTATGTAATTTTTTATGTACAATTTTAATGTGCAATTAGCAAAATTCCTATAATGTATAGAGAAATGCTAACTGTATATACTGGTTTACCACTTAATTTACAGAATGCTAAAGTGGCAAGATTATATAAATAATAAGTTGGTTTAACTTTCTTTTTTTGTCCAAAATGGTGTGAAATCTTGCTACCTCAGCATTCTATGAACCAAGTGGTAAACCCGAGTGTATAAGTAGCATGTCCCATTATATATATAGTGCATGTCAATTAGCTAGGGATGTCAAACGGGCCGAGCGGCTCGTGGACAGTTCGGGCTTGTCAAATTACGAGCCCGAGCCTGAGTCGAGCCCACGAGCCATTTTGTCGGCTCGTCCAAAAAATTGAATTTTTTTTAAAAAAAAAGGTACCAAAAAAAAAAAAAAAAACCCCAAATCGAAAGGTACCAAAAAAAAAAAAAAAAGCTCTCAATCGGCTTGTGGGCTCTGGTCGGCTCGGCCAACGAGCTCGTGGCTCTTGAGCTCACCAGCTCGTGGGCGAGCAACGAGCCGAGCTCGAGCTTTTTCAAGAGCCACGAGCTTGGCTCGCCAGTTCGTGGGTTAAAGGGCCGAGCCGGCTCGGTTCGGTCCATTGCCATCACTACAACCAGCTATTAACACAAAATTAATCATGCTAGAGGTGTCAAAACGTGTTGAGTTGTACAAGTATCGGTTGTCCGACACAGGAAAAACACAATCTAACAAGTGAGAAGCCGTGCTACCAATCAGCATGTCCATATGGCTGCGTCGAGACAAGCTCATCCTGTAGACAAGCCTGGACATTTTTAGGTTTAAATAATTTTAGGCGTGTGGAACCAAGGATAGCCCATGCAAATAGGGTGTTGGTGAACCAACACATACCAATTTATACATCGACATAACTTAATGAAATGATTTTGAAAGTTGAAGAAATAAGCACACACTGGAAAAATGGGTACAACCCGATTTACACTTCTACAAGTTGTGATTAACAAAGTACTTCAAATAGTTGGAAATAGCATAAATTGCATTATTTTCGAATTGGTGCTTCCTATAGTTGAGTCGTGTAAAATGAAGTTTGTGACAGCCCATGTAAATTTCTATTGAAGTGCATGATGTTAGATTTGAGTATACCCAAGTGAATAAAAGAAAAGAGTTCACATTGTTAAAGTCTTGGTACCTTTTGTGTACAAATAGTATAACTTAGGGATCAATCATATTTTTAAGGTACTGAGTTGGACGAAATTAATGGCCGCGTAAGCAATTCCATCAGCCAATTACTCATAATTTTTGTTAGTTGGAACGATAGAGACAAGCATAGGACTAATGAAGAGGTTAATAAAGGACTAAGGCAGTACGATTTAAAATTTAGAGACTTCATCGCTCAATATGTAAAGTGCGTGTCCCACTAAAACTTTAACATAAATATGTGTGTTCGTCAGGAAACACCAAGAGCATAAAATTACTTTTCTTGTAGTGTACCGCAGTTTTTTTTTTCTCAATGAGTAAATCCAGCAGAAGGCCAAACCTCTACTATTAATACCCGTCTTTTAAATTGACTCGGTCTTCCTTGTTATTCATGTAACGAAAGTGCAAAATGATTAAATGCACGTCAAAAATTTGTTAATTATGTGAATACTTGAAAGTTTGGAAATCAATCAGCAACCCATAAATATTTAGGTAGCAATCCTTAAAAAAGAAAACCCTAAAGTATTATTAAGAATGCAAAACCACTAATCAATTAAAGAACACCAGAAAAAAATAATAATGGAAGCAAAGAAAACAAAAGTAGGGTTCGGCTGGAGATTTCCATTCAGCTTGTGAAAGACAAAAAGTGTTGTTATTATATTCGTATACGAGATCGATACGGAACAATTGTTAGTCATAGTGAATAGAACCTACTCGCTCTTAACATATCCCAACTCAAAATTTTTGCATCAAATGGATCGCTACAAACCATCCATATCTACGTACTTCAAAAGTAAATAATAATAATAATAATAATAATAATAATAATAATAATAATAATAATAATAATAATTTATGCCACTTTAAAGCACAGTCCAACATGCTCGACTCCTTCAACTTGTAATCACTCAACACTTATAGCAATGTTATGGGATCCTTCAATACTTGGGACTCTCAATACTTGTCCCTTTTCTTTTTGCTTCAAAGCATCATTATTGAACTTTGCCATGGAAGCAAGTTCATGAACAGAATCAGCAATTTTCACAGTGCATGAGACAATTTCTATGAGTAAAGAAGAAACTGCAGCAGCAGGAATTATATCAAGAAAATTTGTGTCCTTCCACAGGTCTGTTTTGAGCAAGGATTTAAGTTTCTTGGCTGCAGTTTTTGCATTGACGATATGAGGATCAGCAATTGATGAAGAACTCATTGTCTTGATTGCTAGTGATAGTTCTTTCAAAGCAAGACTGGATTCTGAACTCATCTTTGTGCATAATTCTTGAATTTTGACTCTGACTTCTGGTGGTGTCTGCAGCAAAAGCACAAATTATATTTTCGGGTTAATTTTCTGGCGTGAAAAGATATATTTATATAGCCGACTCCCAATATACCGGGAATAATATAAAATTTTGTAGTATATGCCATGTATTTACCTTCATCTCCGAGTTAAGATAGCCACTCAAAGCATCAACGCGATAAGCACATTCTCGCACAAGCATCCCAATTTTCAGGTACTGATCCCAAGGGTGCCGGTATCGGAATCGGCCGTGGCGAGGCTCCCATTTTGCAAAGTTCGCCTGCATGAAAAAAAGATTTAAATAATTAGACAAGAAATGAATTTTTAAATTGAAACTGTGTAAACGGTGATGAAAGTTTTTTATTTGTAACTCACCAGGGATTCTTCGGTGCTTTTGGAATTAAGAACACTTTTATAGCCATCCAGAGATGCTTTCTGATCTTGAAGTTTGTCATCTAATGTTTGGAAGTATTCACATCCGAAACCTGAGAATTTCAGTGGGATACAAGACTACAGGTTAGACTCCAAAAGAATAAATTTGCTACAATTAAATAGAGGTCTAAAGTTAGTCGAGCTTCATCTGGACAAAAGTCCAGCACGGCCTTCTAAAGACTCGACTTCGCCATGTAGCAAATGGCCCGTGCAAGCCGAGTGTCATGTTATGGGCCATCCCGTCCAGAGAAAAGATGGCAGAGATTGTACCTTCCAAGAAAGTTCCCAAATTTTCAATGTTGCCAGCAACTAGATTATGAAGATCTTCACCAGCCCATATGGGGCATATCAAAACGCAAACTATCAATGCAGCAGCGCCGCCGATGAGTATCGTAGACAATCTCTCATGTGCCATTTCCAGAACCTCATCGTCCCGGTACCCGGAGACAGATATTAAACAGAACGTCAAGATGAATATCAGAAGTCCATAATCATATCTTGCCTTCAATTTGGGATAGAATCGAATAAATGTTACTGCTGCAGCTGCATAATTATCATTTTAAAAAGTAATTATTTTGATATAAAAATATAAAAACTTGATAATACTGAAAAAATAAACAAAACACTGGTTTTTAGTAGGTCATTTTACCTACTGAAAAAACAGATAACCCAAGCAGTATCGGTTCTATTTTCTCCCCGGGAAAACTTGCTAACCGATGTGCTCCAACACCTAGTGAACCAGCGAACAATGTTGCAATCCCTCGATTTACGCCTCGTCCCAGAGTAGCCCCTGTAAATCAATCAGTTAGTTTCGTCTAAAAGTTTAAACTCTTATGGAATTTTTCATAAATGTGGCATTGCTAAGTTAAGAACTTACCTACGGAAAATTCGAAGACGACAACCACGGTCATGACAGCCCACATTGCCGACACGCCAAAGCCTTCATACAAGGGATCAAAGTAATAGAACAGTGAAACTAAACTTATTGCCAATCCTACTTTCAGTGAGTGAATAATTCTTCTTGGATCTTCAACTCCAAGTTTCTTTCCCTCACTGGCTGCATCCATTATTTTCGACACAAATTTCTCAGGTATGGCCTTAAACCAGCACCATGCACGAGCCGTGCATCGGGTAGTTTCTTGATCCATTGTGATCGCTGCCATTTCGTTAAGAAAATATACGATGAATGCTCTAAAAAATCCAGTACCCCTACTCCCTCAAGATGAGAAAAAATGATGACAAGATGTCTAAGATAAATTAGCGAACTAATATATATCGAGTTGATCGCAATGTTCGATGGGACGTAAAAACGTGACTGAATTAGTCCTAATTATTTTTTCGAGATAGAGTAGAAAAGGGTGAGAAATATCGAAGTCGGAGAACAGAAAGGATCCAATGAATTGATGTGCATATTTCTCTTGTATTTATCAGTGAGCAACCTGGCTTGGAAGTGTGAACTGGGAAACATTAGAAATGATTATTTTCCTGTTACATGAAGGCACGTGGAAGATTCCAACACAGGTAAAAATTGTATATGAACATTGGATTGCTTATTGTAATCGTACTTTAACGCGTTTGCCAATCAATTTTTGTGGTTCAGTCTGGAACAGCCTAAACCGGTGCGGCTGTACCTAAAGATTGACCTTAGAAAAGAAATGCATGGGGTACAGTTGTAACGTGAACTGTACACAACTCTTGTATTAATGATTATAGGACTAGTGAATTTCTACGTCTCTTAAAGGGGCAAAAAAATTATTGTCAATATTTTAAGTTAAACTTCATTCTAGGTAAGTATATTCAATTTAATTTCAATTAGGTAAATATATTTAGCCCTTACCCCTGGGAGGAATTTTATGAAGATTTTAATTCTAATTTTGACCGTTGGACAAATAAGTGGATCCCATTTATGTAATAATTGTCGACTCAACATGAGTCTAATTACCAAAAATGTCATTTTTTACAGAATAAAGAATTAAATGATATTGGGACACACTAGTCATTTTATTTAATTTAGTCAAAATTGCGGCTCCCTACATAGTATAATGGCATAAAATTCACTATTTTTTTTTTTTTTTCACAAAATCCGTCCTAGACAGGGTATTAATTTAATTTTCATTCAAGGTAAAACTACGTCTACCACTGGTATGACATGATCGTCAATCAGAGATGGCCATCCTATGTGTCCGTCGGATATTGACGAGGCAAAAAATACTTGATTTATGTGTGGCAACAAAGATAAAAATAAGCATAGATCAAAAGATTTTTTAAATACTAGGATTTTTTTTTATTTTTTTATTTATTTTTTACGTTAATTTGGACAGATAGCATTATTCTGAGTTAAAATTTTAAAATAAATATATATGCAATAAGACAATCTTTCGTAAGTGCTGCGTAAACTAAGCACATACGACAACATGACGGTAGTTGTTTGGTTCACCAGATGTTTACTAGAGGTTTGTTGGACCACTGATTAGTATTGTTTATTAATATTGATTGAGACTTAACTGTGGAGTAGAGTTAGGTAAGTAAACAACCTGGAAATACCCTATTCAATTGATTCTCCTATGTTTGAGCCTCATTTTTTCAAAGAATAATTCTATTTGCATAAAAAATTGTCTCCACTCTCTCAAAACAGATAGGCCCCACGTAAATGTAAAAATTCCCAAATATGGTCCGGTGCCCTATTATGAATAGTAGTTAAATGATTATGTAAAAAAAAATACGTACATGTAACATTGTCATTTTTTAAAACTCTTTTTCAAGCACACATTCTCTAATAAAATATTTCTATTCGTAAATCCAAACTTTTTCTTACTTTCTATCAACACATTCTCCAAAAACTCACTATTCAAAAATACATTTTCTCTTCAAAATCGGGCTTAAACATTAATCAATATTTTTTTAATTTTCAAGGGATTTTTGTCATTCACTGGGATTAGAATGAAATAGAATCGAATAAAAGATAAGAATCATTGTGTTGGATTAATGTTAATTTCTCTTAATGTTGTGTTTGGTCTAATCTTAAAACCGTTGAAATTTTATATTTTTCGTGGGAATATCCAGACAGATATTAGACAAGAAACAGGAGATTGAAAATGAAAAGGGTGCAAACACAAATCGGAGCGCCAGAACCATATGGGGACAGGCGTCGATTTTTATGCGTTATTCTTGGTTGGTCGGTCGGTCTCGGACAAAAAAGAGCTAAAAGAAAATGGGAAGAAAATGAAGTGGGCGGTGGACCCGTTTGTGGCAAGGACTTGTCTGGGGTCGGCTACAACCCTTGTTTATACCATAATTATTAGACTCGATTTGAATATCAACTCGATCGAGATATTGAATCTCGAGTTATTGGTTGCACCGGTAATCACTGCGTCAAAATTATAAAAAATTTTTAATATATAATTTTATTTTATTTTTGTTTGAGACAAAATTAAAGTTTTTAAATTATTTATTATTAATTATTTATATATTTTTAAATTAATAATTTTGTTAAATATTCAATCCATCTTAATAAAAATGAATCTTTCATACATAATAAGTCTATAAAATAAAGTAAAATGTTAAAGTATAATTCTTTTTAAAATACTAGTTTAGGCTCCGTGTAATGCACGGATTGTATTATTTGAAGGGTGATATTAGCATTTTGAATGTTAATAATTGTATAAAGTAAATTATGTTCAAAGCGGGAGGAGTAATGAACAAGTTTTTAATTAGGAAACTGTTGAACAAAGATATGTTTTTATATTCGTAAAAATTGGGATCTTCTTGGTTGTTTCTGTTATCCTTTTGAAAGTGTATGTTGTAGTTGGATGGAAATGGAGATCTAGAAGTAAAGCACAAATTGAGAAAAAGCAAGAGGCGCTATTTAGTACTTATATACTACATCTAATATTTTTTGAAAATAATAATTGGTACAATGTTGAAAGTTAAATATTTACATGTCAATTATTAGAACAAAGGGGTAAATAAGCTAAAAGTTTATTAAAGAATGTTGTACATACTTTACTTTTTTTAATGCTATACATTGAGAAAAAGAATTTGATAAAGATAACTCAATTTATTTTTTGGCAGAATATATATGATGAGAAGATTGCACTATCTCTAATTTGGTTTAGTCGTCTAGTGATATATTAGATTTCTCATATGTTTTTTTTGTTGTCATCTACAAATGAAATAGAGTTAGCAAAAAAAAAAAAAAGAAAAAAAAAAAAAAAAAAAAAAAAATAAAAAAAAAAAAAAAAAAAAAAAAAAGTAAAAAAAAAAAAAAAAAAAAGAAAAAAAAAGAACACTTATTGAGTGTGAAAAAATTGTCCTTTATACCTGTTCCTCTGAACTTATTCCCATGGTATACATTGCCTTCTTTGTTTCTATATACTCTCTAGATTCATCAAGCTCGTCTAACTCGTAGCAATTTGATTGATTAAATAACGGAACTTTTTGGATTGCCCAACTTAATTTTTTTAATATCCTGAAAGTAAAAAAGGAAAAAAAAGATTAATATGGAATTAACTCGGAAACATAAGAGATCGTATAAATAAAGATTTTTTAAAACAAATTAACATGAAATTAAAAAAATGTGATGACTTATGTGAAGGATGTGTTGAACTAACATTTACAAACAAACTCAATTGAATCCCTTGGAGCAGTGTAATCCTAGTTTCCGCTTTTGATTAATAATAAGATATTCCTTGAATGATGGGTCACATTTCTAGGAAGAAAGAGAACAAATTTTTGAATTCTGTTTTGCCACTTATATCAGAACTAAAGGAGACAACTATCAGCTGATGCAGTAAGAAATAAAGAATAAGTTTAGTGCAAATAGCCCTTTCATCAGCTAAGGAACACTGACGAAAAGACTGTGATTGCACATTCATCAGAGTCAAGACCTAATCACATCAGTAATAAATAGCACCAGGAATCAATCAATTATATGATCACCATTGCCTAGAGAAGCAGGATTGACATAATTCAATTATATGGACAAGCGATATCTAGAAGAGAGTAGGACAAGAATGGCTCAAAGCTTCAAACAACATTTGCTCAATATGGACTTCGATTTAAATTTTTAAAAGCTTGCAATTAATATATAGTTTGCTCTGTACTTACCATCAATTCACAATAAGCATCATAATATTGAGGAAACCTCCCAAGAATTTCCACCAGAGATGTTTGAGTTGCATCTAAGAAGAGAAATATCATTTCCCTTACACAAATATCAGGCTGTACGAACAGTGATAAAAAATAACTTCTATTAATTTAATCAATAAATGACGGAGAATAAGACATGGAAAATAATTTCTACCTTTTTCTTAACTATCATCACAAATATAGGAAGAATACCCATCCATGGCTGTGCCTATAACCTGATGATGAACATGTTCTTCAATATTGTTCATCAACATCTCAAGAAGCTGTGAATCCGATAAAAAACAAAGTCTTATCAATGCTTCAAAGCAATTGGTCAGGGGGACATATATAATCCACCGCAACTAAAAGAGATCCATCAAAACAAGCAAAAAAATTATATACCCTATAAGTACTTACCAGTACTGTAAACAATTGTGTGTTTGAATTTTTGCTTCTCAGGTATTCTTTGTAACTTTTACAACATCTTTAGCTTGTCTGTATTACAAAAATACATAAAATAGTGGTGAAGTGGGTAGTGACATTCAAAAACACAGTTAATGTTAAATTAAACAACACTAACCTTGTCTTAAGAATTAAACTTCATTCAGCAAGATAAAAGTAACTTCAGCACCATTTTACAGGCTTAAACAACAAAATCATTTATTCCTTCATATTCAAAACCACTATAATAGATATTGAAATTGAACATTTAGAGTACAAAATTAATAAATGAAGATACACAACTCCTGTTAAAGTATACGTGGATCACCAACTTATTGAGTTCTTTTAGCTTCTGGTAACAGATGCATCTAGCTAATAGAATAATAGTTAGGTGGGGCTGAATCTTCAAGTTTGATAGTGACTATGTTCAAAGGAACCAACATTGAGGCTTTTTCCTCATTCCATTTCCCATTTCATAAAACCTGAAGTTGGAACATATTTAATGTCTCATATTTGCCACCGAAGAACCTACATTTATTTCAGTGTATAGAAATATTTAAAATAAGTAATTTTGAAGCTATTAATATATAATTTTATAGATTGAATTTTGATAAAGGAATCTTACTGAATTTTCATAATTTGTTATGGTTAGGATAAACATGGACGTAAAAAAATTCATTGTGAGAGATATCTGTGACAATCTTTCGTCTGTATAAACGTATCTTCTCTGATGAAACTGCTTCTAATGGATATCCGAAAATGAAGCATTCAATGTATTTGAGAAGGAAAACTCCAGAATTTGGCCTATAGAAAAAACAATTTGATGTTAGTTTATGTTAATGTTGTAAATGAAAAATAAAATTAAATAGAA